TCGGCTGCAGGTTTTGCTGTAACTACATTCACTAGAAACTGCCCAGTGAAGAAAGAGAGAGGCCCTGGACTTGCAGCGGGTTGGAGCAGCGACTACACGCTCCAGAGCAGCCATGAGGAACCTTCCATCGCAGACGGCTCCAGCTCCTGTTCGGCAGAGATCACTGAACCATCTACAAAAGCCTGGGCAAGATGTTAACTCTTTCATTACCCAGATGAGACTTGCGGATTAATCTTTTTATCCAGAGAGAGAGAGAGAGAGAGATCAACATGAAAAGAGACTTTATAAACTACCAGTGACAGGAAAGAAAAGAAGCTTCAGGAAAGGTAGAGAATTAAGAAGATGCTTTAATTAAGCTGAAATATCTCCCTGTTAAAACTATGGAGATAGACAATGAAGTCCTGAAAAGAACTCCTTTAATTCATGATACAGGATCTAGAGAGGAATAGTGTTCAAAGTGTAAATTTGAGTAAAGAGTAATTATAGTATAGTGAAGTGCTGGGAGATTTGAAGCCTTGAGAGGCAATGAGAAAACTGGTTTCTGGTGAAGCTCACAGAAACAGATGAAGACTTTTTTTTCTTTTTTTTTGCCTTTGAATAACTTATCCTTAAAAATGCTATCTCTAGACTCATGGCCCATACACACTTCAGAGTGATGTGAAAATGGGAGGAGTGAACTCTAATAATAGCAGCTCTGAGCAGCTAACATTAGGGCAATAGAAAACTATAACAAAAATAGTTTTCTTGTGAGAAACTCCATAAATTAACAGGAAGAAACTTCTGTTTCTCTATAAAGACTGGTGAAAAGACTAGCAAGAATTGGGACTGTTTTAACCATCAAAGTTCCAGAGTTTTTGTCTCTGTTGTCATGTGAACGGGGAAGTGGTGGGTAGATAGGGGATGGAAGGGTTTTTCTGGAGGTTTATTCTGGTGTTCTTGTTGTTGTAGTTTGTCAATAAACTTTCTTTTTTTTCCCTTTTAAGTTGTATGCCTGTTTTGCTCTTGTTCTAATCCATATCTCACAGCAAGAAGTAAGTAATTTTCTTAGTTATTGGTTTAAAACCACGACACATGAGCAGGGACAACTATCTCTAGACTCTGAGGTTGCTCAGAACCCTGTCCAACCTGGCCTTGAACACCCCCAGGGATGGGGCATCCACAGCTTTTCTGGGCAACCTGTGCCAGTGTCTCACCACCCCCACAGTAAATAAATTTTTCTTCGTATCTAATATAATCTGCTGTGTTTAATTTTGAAGCCATTGCCATTTGTCCAACCACTGCATGCTCTTGTAAAGAGTCCCTCTCCAGACTTCTTGTAGACTCCCTTCAGGTAATAAAGGCTCCCTTCAGGTAGCTGACTGGTAATCCTTTTTATATGTCAGCAGCAGTCCTCAGAAGAAATGGAAAAGTAAAAAAACAGATTGATTTACAGTACTGTAGTTGTATGAAGTCTGGCTGTCTTGGGAATAAAAATGTAATGTGTAATGTGATCTTAAACTTTTTAAAAATATTTACTGATGCTGGAGTAATGATGTTATCTATCCTGAATGCTAACTCAAAATAAGATCTCTAATTGTCTGGAAAAGGACAGCATTCTCTATGATACTTGTTTATTTTTTTCAGGAAAAAAATGACAACAGAAAACATTAAACATTGTCTTTAAATATTAAATATCCTAGTGCACCATAAATTTTTTATGTGCCAATTAACGAAGCAATATCTGTCTTTGTTTCTGTGCAAATGTAAGAGGACTGCAAAGAGTTCAGCAGACAGAATACTAGCTGCAGTGAGAGGAAAAGACAGCACTACAAAGCAAAACTGCAGCTCCCAGAAGAGACCTTATTTCACTCAAATAATGTTTTAAGAAACAGGAATCTTGGGATTTTTAAAAACATCTTAATTTTTGGAAATGCTTGAAGGATATAACAGATTTTTAAGAAGTGCTTTTAGGAAATTATTGCTTTAGCTTAGCAACTTACCTCTAACATTAAGGAAATGAATGTTACAAAAAAACAGAATAGCAAATGGTGCAGCTGTAGCTATTCACAAATGCAAGTACATTTTTATAGATAAACGCATCACCAAGATGTTATTGCAGATTCCTCTTGCTGATACCACTTGTATTATAGTTGTATATTGTAAGACTGTTTTCAAGATGCATACTCGTCTCCACCTGGCAAAGTACTACGAGTTTCTACCTCTAGAGAGCTATGAATGTTAAATGGCAGCATGTAGGAAAGAAGGAATTTCTTAAATTTGGCACAATTAACATGAAAATGCCCTGCCTCTAGCTATCTTTGGGGCTGAGTACTTGTAGAAGAGTTAGATGTTTGATAAGCTGAACATGAAGTTTGTGACAAAACTTGGTATGGTAATTTCTGGGCAAAGGACGCCTGTTTGGGCTACATGACAATGTGTGCACACGGCATCATTCCAGGACTTTGTGTTTTCAGAGTTGGAGTACTCTAGCAGTTGAAGGTTAACACAAAGGTCTGAATGTGTAAGAATAGTT